TGTGTGTGTGTGTGTGTGTGTGTGTGTGTGTGTGTGTGTGTATTTAGATGCCACCTCTAGGTTTTCTTTATTGCTAGTTTCAAAAACATGATAGATACCAAGTTAGATACTTGTAATGACAATTTATAATATACCTTTTTGAATTCTGCTTTTTCTTGACATATTTACAATTTCTACACAGATAACAACAACAACAACAAAACAGTGTAGTGTGTCTTGAGTGCTTATTCTCTGCCATGCAGCTACTGAGCATTTCTTATTTAGGTCTTCTATTGTTTGTTATAAGGTTGGTAATATTTCTATCCTCATTTAAAAATGAAGAAATTGAGGGCTCTGGCTATAACTCAGGATAGAGTGCCTGCCTCATATATGTGAGGCACTGGGTTTGATTCTCAGCACTACATAAAAATAAACAAATAAAGATATTGTGTCCATTTACAACTAAAAAATATACTTTAAAAAAATAGGAAGTTGAGATTCAGACAACCAAATAAATTTAAGGCCACAGAACTTCTACAAGCAAGGATTTGAACCCACCTCCTTCAGAGTCTAGAATACAAACTGTGAACCACCATGCTACGCTGGGCAGCACAAAGCTCTCTATGAGTCCTGCACTCTTGGTTGCTCTAACTCTTTTCTGAATTTAGTGGTAAGTGGTTTAACACAATGGTGGCATCCTTGGCCGCTCTCCATGAATCCAAGGGTGGAACTCTCTTATACATGACATTATCTGTGAATGCAGCTCTGTCTACATGGCTCCAGTATATGTCTTCTGTTCAACTCAACCTATCTTTGGTAGTTCCTGACACCCACTCTGTACCAGCACCCCAACACCCCATGATGCCATGCCTCTTTGCCCCAACCTGTTTCTTTCCAGCTTCTCTGGGCCTGGTGTACTGTGATCAGTCTTGCTTCATCTTAAGCATCTCCTAGGGCCTTGTGCTCTCTCCATGGCCTGAAGGTCAGCCTGTGCACTGTATTTGTTCCAGCACTATCCTACACTATTGCAGTACTTCCATGCATTCCGTCTGCCCTGTTTAGTACCTTTACAGAAAGCACCACCTCCTATCTCCACGTGTATTCCACGTTCCTAGTGCAGTGTCAGTCTGAAATATGAGAGATTCAATAATTCCTGGGAGAATGAATATAAATCTGAGTGAACAATGAATAAATTTGGAAAAGAGGAGCAACATGTTTCAAACAAAAGGAAATCACAGATTTTTATTTTTTTAAGTTGTAGGCTGGAGATTTGAAGAGAAGCTGGAGTAAAGAAAAAGAAAATTTAATTTCCATTTTGCTAAGCTTTAAAATCATTCCCCAAGCCACAATGATGCAACTATTTTCAAAAATCCATTAACCACTCTGGCTACTGTCTCCTACCCTAAGGAGAAGAAATTCCCTTGCCAAATTGAGAATTTTCCCTAAGCCCCTGAGTTTTCCCTCCATTTCTAACTCTAAAAGACTTTTGCCACAATTTCAAATAGAAAAAAAAAAAAGCATTCATTTAGCCCATCTCCTCCTACCATTATTTTAATGAATGCTGGAACTGGCTTAGCCTTAGAATTTAAGTGATTCTAGAATCTCTTGTCAGCATTTTAAAGATGTCTTTGGATATAATAAATTCATGTTAAAAGTATAAACATAATTTTATATTCAAAAAAAAGATGAGCCCTACAAAAATTCACTTCTCCAAAGAGATAAAATATCGGCATTTAGGCATGAAATGTCCAGTGCTATCAGAGACTGCTAAAACCTTAGGTGTTATTATTATTATGACGTTTTAGATCCTAAAGAAGGTTCTGCTTCAATCAGTTCTCACATTTCCATCCCCTGTGACTAGGGAGTATAGATTTTGTTAGAAACCTGGCTGGTCTGGAGGTCTCACTGGTGTTCAAGGTGTGCGAAGGAAAGGGAAGTGATCTCCTTTGGAATTCATTTAGAGTGTGCCAGGAACAGCAGCAGCCTGTGAGGTTGGACATTTGTTCCCATTCTGTAGATTGTAGCAAACACACCAAAAACTGAAACCAAAACCACCCAAGGCAACACCAACAGGATTAATGTGTAGTAAAACCCATGACAGCCTGTGGGAGCCATCCTTAAAGTAACTGAACTGCACCGTCCTCCACTTCCCTCCAAGGAAGTTTTTAATATCATACGTTTTTATGCATTCAGTCATATAAAGGAAACTTCATTGTACTAAAGTTATCATTCATATTCTCTCTAGTGAGTCTCTGTAGGAAGAACTTTATTTTGTTTATATACATATTTATATTGTATATATATGAAATATATATATAATCTCCTTGATCTTTTTTATGGGGTTCTTGGATCTCCCAAGAGAATCTTCTATGAACTTGGGAAAAAATCCTATCTTTAATTTCATTAATCTCTAACTGGAATGTAGCAATCATGAACTTAGGAAACCTTCTTCAGTAGTCTTAGTAGTGCTTATGATCAACAGAAATCACAGATAATGTCACTTTACATTATTTTTTCTATATCTTGAAATATTATTATGCGCCTTACTTAGAAACTACCATAGTTGTTAGTCTTACCATAGTATATTTTTACTTATTAGAATAACAAGGAAACATAACTCACCTTGCATGACAAATTTGTTGTTTTCTTCCTTTGATAACTATACTTAAAATATCATCAGTTTCCCTTTCAATCTTATGTATATAATTTTATGTAAATATTACTCTAAGAATGACCCATCGACTTCCAAAGTTTCATGGCATAAAGAAGTTAGGACTTGGGTCTTTAAAGTGTCTGATTTTGAAGCATTTTAATAACCCCCCCCCATGTTTCATCCTCATTCCCCCTTCATCATTTTTCTTCTTTCTTCAGTCTCTCCCTTACTTTTCTCTACTTATTACTTTCTTCATTCCTGTCTTTTCTTTCTTCCTCCTTCCATTTCTTTTCCCTCCTTCTCTCTC